GATAGGTGCTTTTAGGATGCCCTATTTACATGTGGTGGTGGGCTTCTGCTGGGCTGCCAGACACTGCCTGATTATCACACAGGAAAACCTGGCAGTTCCTATGCCAGAGGCCATGTATCTGTGACAGCTACTTCAAAGATGAGTCAGGAAGAGAGTAGGGGGGCGCCCTGCTGAGGAGTCCTCCATTCGCGCTGAGCCGACATGTGGCTATCTGGACATGGAAAGACTACAACTCAAAACAGCAGGAGTCCCCAACATACAGTTAGAGCCCAAGCTGCCCTGGTGGCTGGGGACAGTTTGCCTGACTCTGTGAAATGTTCAATGCAAGGATTAGCAACTGCAGTGCCAGCTGTCCTGGATCTGTAGAGGAAGGGGAAGCCTGCTACAAAGGGCATCCTAGGGGCCACTGCAAACCAGCACAGAAGATAAAGAATGGCTTGAATAGTTGACCTTTCCCAGCAGGAACAGGACAGATACTGATGTGAGACAATAGTCCTGTCCTTAGGAGACTCACACTGAGCCATCCAGAGAGAAAGGGTCATGATGGATGTATCTTACCCTTATATGGCTCTGATGTGATATTGAGGGGCGGGAGAAAGACAGAGACACAGAAAAATAATAAAGCAAATGGAAGAAATAGAGTCTAGGTGAAAAGGACTTTCTGTACTGTTTTTATTTTGCTATTTCTGTTAAGGCCCAATTTGTATCCCAGTGCCTGGCCATAGAATGCACCTGACCTCTGGCTCTTTCCCTTTCTCTCCTGCCCAGTGTGGAGACAGTGAATGATGGGCAGTTTCACAGTGTGGAGCTGGTGATGCTAAACCAGACCTTGAACCTGGTAGTAGACAAAGGTGCTCCCAAGAGCCTGGGGAAGCTTCAAAAGCAGCCAGCAGTGGGCACCAACAGCCCCCTCTACCTTGGAGGTAACACCCCCTGCCACAGCCCCTCTACCTTATCAGCTTTCTGCTTCCGCACCAACACCCAGACTTACTGCCAGGGTCTCCCTGCTGTCCCACTGCCAAAGCCGATCAGAGAAGACTTCCTGGAGAAAGTGATAACAAAGCTGATTCCTCAATGGCCATGGGAAGAAGACTAGGCAGATGCTTGGAAAGGAGAGAGGACAGGCTTTGGTAGGAAGAGGAAAGGAGGAAATGGATGTGGTGTCCAGGCTGTGCTGTAGTCTGCAGGCTTTGGGTCCATATCCCTCTGTTCTGTCACCTCCTGGACACCACACAAAACAACACTGAGTTGAAGAGTCTGGTACTCCGTAGCAGAGTGCCTCCCTAGCACCAGCAGTGCCTGGGCTCCATCGCCAGTGCACACATGTTCATACAGATGCCTAAGACTACCAAGAGCAGGCACAGACCCAAGGGCCTGCACTTTTCACAGGCCTTCCAGATGCAGGGGTCACAGAGTATTCCTGGCCCCAGCCATCTCAGGAGGACAGAGCTTCTCCACAAAGAAAACTGTTGCTCCCCTCCTCTGTATCTGCTCTACCTGTAGCCAAAACAAAACTGAGCGCCCTACATCCAGCCTTCAGGCTTATCTGAGGTTCCCAACATGGGGGTTGGACAGGAGCTGGTGTACAGGAGAGAAAAATTTTTTTTCTCTTTTGAGACAGACTTTCATATAGCCCAGACTGGCCTCAAACATACTCTATCACCAGAGGATGACCTTGAACATCTGATACTCCTCCCTCCTCCTCCTGAGTGCTAGGACTACAGGCATATGCTTGTCTTCTGCATTGCTAGGGATTAACCCCAAGGGTTTCATGCATGATACACAAGCACACTCCCAATTGAGCTATATGCTTAGCATAAAAGGGCAGAGAGAACACAGATCAGATTTCCCTGGAAATCAAGCCAGGCTTTTACTAGTAGTGTGACAGACCCTGAGAAGAAGGGCCCACGGCATACCAAGAGGGTCATAAAATGGTCTGGAAACCTTGAACCCCAGAATTCCAGTGAGGAAAGCTGCTCCCTAACCCCACTATCTCCCCCAGACTCCAGCTCATTTGCCCTGGACTTTCCAGGAGGGGCTGAAACATGGGGCACCCAGGCCTGGTGAGGACAGCAGGGTGATCCAGTGCTTTCACCCATGACATGTCAGTGGGGGGTGGGCCTCAGTTGGACCAGCGGAGCTACACAGTGGATGACAAGGTCCTCTCATTTTTTACCTAGAGAAGCTCAAAATAGAGACCGCTATGGAAATTTTTCAGAATTTAAATATTGGTGATGAGTTTGGGTTAAGAGTCCAGAGCAAAGATACAAGTCCCTGTGTGGATAAGGCCCAGCTTTGGCCTATTAGCACAATGAACAGCAGAGCCCAGAGCTCTGAACACTAAACTGTGAACACAAAGACCATGTTAGCACTTTGAAGACAAGGGGTGGGCAAGAGAGGGTCTTCAGGCTGTCTTGGCTCCTCCCACAGGCATCCCCACCTCCACCGGCCTCTCAGCCTTACGGCAAGGTGCTGACCGGCCGCTGGGTGGCTTCCACGGCTGCATCCACGAGGTGCGCATCAACAACGAACTGCAGGACTTCAAGGCCCTCCCTCCACAGTCCCTGGGGGTTTCTCCAGGCTGCAAGTCCTGCACCGTGTGCCGGCATGGCCTTTGCCGTTCGGTAGAGAAAGACAGCATCGTGTGTGAGTGCCACCCAGGCTGGACTGGCCCACTGTGTGACCAGGAAGCTCGAGACCCCTGCCTCAGCCATAGGTTAGTGTCCTGGGGGCCCCACGCTCTCAGCTTACAAGCCACCTTGCCTCCACCCAAGGGGTGGGCACTGATGAATGCTGGGGAGATGTGGTCCTACTGTGGATAGCATCACTGCTTCAAACATCAAAAGGTTGACTCCCACATCCAAGCAGCAGGCCCAGCTTGGAGGTCTCAGCATGAGAGGGCCTTGTTCAAAATACCTGACTCTACCAAGGGGTCCTGAGGACCTCTTGGAGTCATAGCCAGCCTCAGTACCACCTCTGTGTGACTAGAAACTGTCTTAGAGGAGATAGAGCCCCAAATACTACACAGCAAGTAGGAGGGTGAATTTCAGCTGCTGTGTGACCAGAAAGCTACTAGACCTGCATAACCATGCACAACTGAATCATGATTAGGATTCAACTGTTTATTATTCATTCAACAGATATTTATTGAGGGCCCACTGTGTGCCAGGTCTTTTGCTAAATGCAAGAGACCCAGTGTTCCTAGAAATCTCAGTCAAAAATAATACCAGGGGCTGGGAGATGGCTCAGTGGTTAAAAGCACTGGCTGCTCTTGCAGAGGACCCAGATTCAGTTCCCAGCACCCACACAGCAGCTAGCAACTGTCCTTAACTCCAGTTTCAGGGGATCCAATACCCTCTTCTGGCCTCTGTGGGCATTCCGCTCATGTGGTGCATGTACATATATGCAGGCAAAACACCCATACACATAAAATAAAAATAAATCAAAAAGCAACCTAATAATAATACCATGCCCAAGACTGGTAATTTGGCTGACTGATCAAGTTGGGAAATGATATTCCAAATTAAGAAGTAGGGAGCACTGTAGAGGGCTTGAACTTCCTGTGTTAATCTTGAATAGATCTGTCTAGCCCTAGAATCAATGTAAATCCTGACTCTGATGTCATCCAGGTAGGGACAGTGATGTATAGTGATTGAAAATACAGGTTTTGGAGCCAGTGAGATGGCCCAGACAGTAAAGTCTGATGACCTGAGTTCGATCTTCAAGAACCACACAGAGGAAGGAGAGAATTGACTCCCATAGCACACGCACACACACACACACACACACATGCACACAAATGTAAAAAAATTTAAAAGAAAATGCAGACTTTTCCATCCTTCCTTCTAGAGGATGTGTGTAAGTCTAGTTCATCAGAGGGGCTGTTGTGAACTGACAAGTGATAAATATGTGATATGATGCACTTAACACAATGCCTGGCCCTCAGCACGTGGCATCTGCCAAGAGCAGGTTAAGTGTCTCTTGTCCAAATGCTGTGGAACAGAAGTTTTTTTGGATTTAGGTTTGGGGTTCTTAGATTTCAGAACATATGCATATATCTCCTGACATATTTTAGGGGTAAGCCCCAAGCTTACAAGATTCATTTATGTTTCATATACCCCTCACACATGTAGTCTCATGGTCATTCTACTATGTGATGTTTATTCCATCTGTGTTTATCAATAGTCCATCACAGGGAGTTCAGGTGTAGAATTTTCCACTTGGAGCCCATGCTGATGCTTAAAATATTTTGGATTTTGAGCATTTGGGGTTAGACTTCTTCAACCTATAGTGATGGCAGTAGTGATAATAGTGTTACTATTTAAGTCGGGCGAGCAATTGAAATGCTTACAGAAGCTGATGAGATGGCTCAGCTAGTAAAGGCACTTGCTGCCAAGTCTGACAACCCGAGTTCAGTCCTCAAGATCAATGTACTACCTGAGAACCGACTCCCACAATTGTCCCGACATTCACATGTATGCATGCCCACACATACATTTGCATGCATACAAGATAAATAAAATATTTTTAAAAATTTTTAAATATTGGCAGAAAGCTCAAAGTCTGCCAAGCTGTGCCTTGACACTGAAGACCCATGTCTATGTTGGAAAAAAGGGGGCTGATGTCTGTCACGGCCACAGCCAGCAGCGGACCTTGGCTCGGATTCACAGGCTTCCGAATCCTAGCTAGTTGGCCACTGGGATGGGGTTTGCAAGAACCATGCACAGCTGAACAGACTGGGCTACACCCAACCATGGCCCCACAGCTCTGGGTCCCCTGTGGGAGGACAGAGGAAACATCCAACACCACTAACTCTGGTCTTGTTCTCATGTCCTCCTCTCTGCCCCCAGCTGCAGCCATGGGAAATGTGTAGCCACCGGAAGCTCATATATGTGCAAGTGTGCTGAGGGCTATGGAGGGGCTTTGTGTGACCAGAAGAATGACTCTGCCAGTGCCTGCTCAGCTTTCAAGTGCCACCATGGGCAGTGTCAGGTCTCAGATCGAGGGGAGCCTTACTGCCTATGCCAGCCTAGCTTCAGTGGGGAACACTGTGAGCAAGGTGAGTCTACTGTGCTCATGGGATGGAGGGCCTAAGAAGCAGGGGGTCAAAGTTGAACTCCATACCTGGAACACATAACCTCTATTTCAGGCTGTGCCATTGCAAGGCAGTATGGCATTGGATCATCACTTTTTTTTTTAAGGTTTATATTACGTGTGTGTGTGTGTCTGTGTGTACATATGAGTGGAGGTGCCCTTGGAGGCTAGAGGTGTCAGATCACCCGGAACTAGAATTACAAGCAGTTGTGAGCCACCCTACTTGGGTGCTGGGAACCAAACTCAGATCCTCTGGAAGAGCACTAACCACTGAGCCACCTCTCCATCCCGGAGTCATCACTTCATAAGCAATTCCCTTAACTTGAAAATGCAATCAATTCTATACCTTCATGTGTCTGCTCTCTACCATTAGAAAGTAAGTTAGTCCCAGAGCATAGCAACTCAAACCACCGTGAGCATTTTTTATCCTATATAGTTCTCATGGGTTGAGAACTCAGAAGCCTCTTAGCTGGGGTCTCTTGAGATTATACTCAGCACAGAAAGGGCTACAATTTTCTGGAGGCTAATTTGAGTCAGATCTGTTTGCAGTAGGCAGTGCCTTTTGTACTGGTGGGAAGTCGTAGTTCCCTTCTGATGAGTCTTTACCTGGGCTGTTGGAGGGCCCGTGAGACAGGGTAACTGGCTTTCACCAGAGTAGACAGATACGAAGGAAGACACCATGGTATCTCGAATGACCTAGCCAGAGAAGTAACCTGCACTAACATTTCCAGGTCATCATATTATTTATAAGGGTAAGGTGTGTTCACTGAGGAAGGTGGCTACATAGCGAGTATAGCAGGAGATGGGGCCATGGTGCCATTTTAGATGCTAACTGCCATGTTGCTCCGTAGGGTTTCTGGGAAGAATATATGACATGTAGATTATCTGTCTCCTAGGAAAGTGCTGAGAGTTGGGTAGCTGAACTGTATGACCTAGACTCATGAAAAATCTAAGTTAGGAGTCTTTTCTTAAAAAGATTTATTTTGGCTGGGCGTGGTGGCACACACCTTTGATCCCAGCACTCTGGAGGCAGAGGCAGGCAGATCTCCATGAGTTTAAGGCCAGCCTGGTCCACATAGTAAGTTCCAGGACAGCTGGGGCTACAGGGAGACCCTGTCTCAAAAAGACCCCCCCCCCAAAAAAAAGATTTATTTCGTGTGTGTGCACACGTGTGCGTGTTACAGTGAGTGCAGTGCCCACAGAAACCAGAGGGCATTGGATACCCCTAGAGCTCAAGTTACAGATGGTTGTGAACCAGCCTCATTGTTGCTAGGAACTGAACTTGGTTCTTGGATCCTCTGGAAGAGCAGTAAGCATTCTCTGAGTCATCTCTCCAGCCCAAGGTTAGGAGTCTTAGAAGTCAGAAACAACACTGTTACAATTTGAGGGAGGCAGGGAGGGAGGGAGGGAGGGAGGGAGGGATGAAGCAAGCCAGACTCTGACACTTAAATCTGTGTACTCTTGAATAGGACAGTTCTCTTGGGGTCATAGTTCCTCACCCAAAACTCTTGCACAGATTTATTGTAAAAGCTAAGTGTTATCATGATGAACAAAGGCTCCAGAGTTAATATTCCTGAGTAACATGTGTGAGATGGCTGACAAGCTCCCTAGTGTTTTCCATACAAGCAAAATGACTCAACGAAAAATACACAACTGCATTTTTATTGTCTAATGGAGAATGCTGGAGTGCAGCAAGGAGTGGGGGAGGCCTTGAGGCCACAGAGCACCAGGATGGCAGCATACAGAGAGGAAGGGGATCACCCTGCCTCTACTACCCCGCCTCCTTGGTTGGAACGGACTCAGAGCTATGAAGGACTTCTCCTCGCAAGGAGAGGTAGGCAATAGGTTCTTGGCACGCCATAGGAACCTGAAATAGACACCTGCAATATTTGCTGCTGGAGAATCTTGCATCCTCTCAGACTCTAAGCGCAGTTTAGGAGCTATGCTGCTTCAGAGAAGGAGCCTACATTCTGTCCCTCCACCCTGTGATGACCCAAGCTACTGGAGCTTGGTACCACTGGAGCTCCTGCTGCAGTGTGTCCTGCTCCAGGGGCAGTAGGTGAGACACTTCCCAATCCCCAAGGCTCCACCAGCATTCTACCACACTCACTTAGATAGCTGGGACACCACACCAGCTACTCACACCAAGAGCCAGCGCACTAGCCTTTAGCTCATACCACATCCTGCCCACCAGAGAACAGGTGACTGAGCCTGATCCATGGCGTGTAATGCATGGCCCCTCAGCTCAGCACCTAACCAGTGAGGCCATACCACCACCATCACTACCAACATCACCACCAACTCCTGCAGCATAGACATCAAATCACTCAAGGGTGCTAATTATAACTGAAGAGACTATACACTGTATTTCTATCCATACCCAGAGCAAAAGTGAATACACCTTACCAATTGACACCCTAGGCCCATCTGCAGGAGAAAGTCTATATAAAAGCTATTCCACAGAAGTGGTGGAAGCACCTGCTCTACTATGTGCTCCAAAGGAAGAGCCCACATTCTGGAGATACCAGCAAGTTACACACCACCACTACCACCACCATGGAAAAACTAAGGAAATGTACTACGTAATGACTATATCAGTAACTGATTCCCCAAAGAAAATGAATTCTTGAAAGGAATTTGAAATAATGGTCTTAAATCCAGCAAGATATGAAAACAAAAATAGACAATTCAGTAAAATTAGAAGGATAACTCATGATCTTAATGAAAAATTCAACATAGAAATTTTGTTTACTGGATTTCTGGGGGAGGGGGTTGTTTTTGAGACAGTGTCTCCCTGTAGCCCTAGCTGACTTGGAACTCACTAATGTAGACCAGGCTGGCCTCAATCTCACAGAGATCAGCCTGCCTCCAGAGTTCTGGGGTCAAAGCATGTGCCCTTTGAGATAATCCAGCAAAAGGGATGTGTATAAAAAACATAAAAAAGCCACCATTGAACTTGAGTGAAACCATTAAGTGAGTCACATTATAGGAGTCTAAGAGGGAGGCAAGACAGAAAGTCAAAGCGCAGTTAATGAAGTGACAGCTAGAAAAGAGGGGTGGGGTGGGGCCTTGAAGAGAGTCTGGAAGAGATACAACTTCCAGATTCAGAAGCTCAAAGATCCCTAATAAATTCAGCCCAGAAGATCCCCACTAAAATGTATGATCAAGCCATTAAAAGCCAGAGACAAGGAGAGAATTCTAAAGTCAGAAAGAGAAAAATCACCATCACAAATAAGAGGATTTCTCTTAGACTGTCATCAGGTTTCTCAACAGAAACCTCCAAGGCCAGTAGAGAAGGAAGTAGCACAGTCAAAGTGCTGAAAGAGAGAGAGAGAGAGAGAGAGAATTGCCAAGCAAGATTGTGATACCCAGACTCTATCCTGCAGGAAATAAGCCTTCCCTAGATAAACAAAAACTGAGGCAACTCATCAGCACTAGACTGACCTTACGAGAAATACTAAAGATGGTGCTTCAACTGGCAGCAAAAGGATGCTAGTCACTATCGTGACAAGATTATAATAGTGATAAACTTGTAATAAAATTTAGAATACTCCATTGCATAATAACATATAAACCCACATATCTAGTTTCAAGGTTAAAAGTCAAAATGGGCAAAAATAACTATACCTATAATAAAGTGTTAAGGAAAACACAATATAAAATACGTAAATTAAGAGAACAAAGATATAAATGGGAAGGGTAAGCAGAAGCCTAGAGTGTTTATATATGACCTAAGTTAAGTCGTTATCCGCTTAAAATATTCTATTATACCTACAGGATCTTTTAGGTCAGCCTCATGGTAACCTCAAAGGAAAAAAATTACAGTAGATACACAAACAAGGAAAAGAAAGGAATCAGAGCTTGGCATTATAAAGTACCACAAAGATTTTGGGTGTGGTAGTGTATGACTTTTATCACAGAACTCAGGAAGCAGAAGCAGGCAGATATCTGTGAGTTTGAGGCCAGCCTGATCAACAGAGGGAGTTCCAGGACAGCCAGAGCCTATCTCAAAAAGCAACAGGGCTCCCCACCTACCTTTACTTCCCTGGGTGGCTCAGCCACCAGTTTTCTGGTGCTAGCATCTTTCCTGGGTGGGTCCCTCCGGGCACCCACTGCGCCTCATTCACCCTCCCAGCTCCCCGACCCCATCTCTTCTCCTAGCCTTGGTACTGGCCCATTTCTTGTCTCGGCACCCCAGGTCCCTGGACTGACCTGTTGGCCCAGAATCCCCAATGCTTCCTGATCCTTTGCATCCAGACCAACCCAGTTCCCCCCAGTAGTCCCTTCAGGCCCTCTATCCACTTCCATCTCCCTTTGCATCCCCAGGTGGCACACCCACCAGCTTCCTAAAACCAGCATCTTTCCTGGGCCCTGCTCCCAGGCCATCCCAGCCCCCAAATTCCTGAGGGCAGCATCTTTCTGGAGAGATTCAGACCTTAGGAGAAAGCCTGAGAGCATGTGATCCTCATCTAACTTGGGCCTCTGTGGGAACTCCTGAAGACGAAAGCAATTTGGCCACTCCACTATAAAATCAAAAGAGAGAACCTAAAGCCTAGACTGACCAACTTTTCATGCCCAACAAGTAAACCACAAAGGCACATAAAGAAGCAGACCTAAACTCAACAAAGGAAGGCTTGAATCTCACA